CATGGTATCTCAAGTACTCTGTGAGATGCAAAGAATCCAGCTCGCAATTCTTTGCCATCTCTATGATGCTTGTAGGGAAGCCCTCCACTGAGTCCACTGCCAAGTTCCGGATCAGTTTCTGGCTCTTGGAGGCCATTGACTCTGTTCATAATTAAAGAGGAAGAAGGATAGAGGGAAAGAAAAATTAATCAAAATTTCCCTACGTTAAAAGTTCACGTAATAATATAAACAAACATATTATGATGCTCCTAATTTTATTTTTCCTGTTGACCTTATCGCAAAAAGGACTTTGTTTTTCAGACTACATTAGTGAACCATTTTCTTTTTGTTGACATGGGAATATTCTAAATTACTGTAATGTACGGAAATGAGAATCGAACTCGGATGTAATTAGTCTTTGCAAAGTAATGTGGTTAGTGTGGCCTAAAATATGATCCCTTTAGTATTATTTTAGGTATAAGTTACAGTATAACATTGAACAAAATAATATATAATATTAGACCTGGACAAAATTACCTTGACAAGTATATTTTCGAGTGATGAACCAATAAACTAGGTTTTCGGTCATTGGCAGCTGTCCCACCTGAGTATCATCTTTTTTGGTTAATCTGAACTGAGAGCCGAGTTCATGCCCATTTGGATAACTCGTGAAGCCTCTTATCACACTGATGGTGAAAATTTTCTCAGCCCTCACCCCCATCATATTTGATATGGCAGAGTTCACTCCGTCGCATCCAATCACAACCTGCCACCAGATATTTGAGGACATAATTTTTCTTGCATTGTTGCAAAGCATAGTTGGTAAAATATGGGATAGGTGTATTATTTGGAATTTCGGACAAAAAAAATACGTTGAAAAATTTGGCCATTATTTAGTATTTTAATATAATTTATTAAATAAATTTAATGTATATAATCTTTTAATCAATAATGTGGGAAAAATACGTGAATTTTACCGGTATTATTCACAGATTTATAAAAAAAAATGTGAAGAATATGTACGTAGTATAATATGTGTATTGTACCTTGGCGTTCAAAAGTCTTCCACCTTGAAGTTGAAGAACAGGAGAAGAAGTTATGGGATCCAACTTAATAGAAAGCACTTCACACCCCAAATGAAGAGTGTTGCGTGGCAAACTATTTGCCAAAATATCAACGAGATCAGTCCTTTTCAAACATCTCAATTCTTCTTTCCTGTAAAAGATTGAGTTCATAATTGGTGTAATCATTTTTTCTTTTGTGGGGAAAACCATTGTCATGCTCAATTTATTTATGTTCAAATTGGATGACATTTTCATCATATATAAGGTCACCAATACTTATTTAACAACACTTTAAGTTCTCTCGCATGAAATTTGAACTCATAATCTACTTTGACACAATGAAAACTAAATGCCATTAGACCAAATGATTATCAATTTTGGGAAGAGTAGTTTCAAAATTAGCAAGCCATAGCCATTTTCTTTTTCTTTAGAGCATCCCCAATCCTAGTATGTGTTAAACGGTGGATGGAGCCCCATGTAGAGCTTTGATGAAATTTTTCGGGCTCTAAAAGTATCTCTCCCACAATGAGAAGCTCTATATACATTCGGCTCTATCTATATTTGGGAATCTAAATTTTTCTATGTTGTAATTTGGTTGAAATACATTTTTGTTTTGTAAACTTATTATGTGTTAGTTTTCTTATGAACATTTCAACAATTGGACAAGATTCCGAAAACAACATTTTATTTCATAAACTCTAAAAGTAAAAACAAGTGTCACACGACTTTGATACCAAAAAAAAAACATTTTTTCCCATCTATATTTGTTAGATAATAATGGTGATAATTTGAGATATGTCTGATTCATTATGGTCTTTCATTCATATCTCATCTACATTTGTCAGATAATAATGGTGGTGGTAACTGAAGATAAGTCTAATTCATTATGTTCTAACATCCCTATTTCATCTGATAAAGTTTATCAACTTACAACAACCATCGGATCAAATCCTTTCATCTCAATTTCATCCGTAGATTTCTTATCTCTTATACAACCATCGCCTCAAAGTACCAACCATATTATTTTCAGAACACACTACCCCCGATTCCTCTATTCTAAAAATTCATTTCTCAAACCCCAAGACAACAATGTCTGGAGATGGGTGTGATGGGCTTTTTGCTTGGGTTGCTACATCTTGCAGCCTGATGGTGGTTCACCTTGATGTACAGCCCTCATGGGCTTGGAGAAGTTATGCCGAACTTAACCAATCATTTATTTCTTGGTGGATATGTGAAATGTTGGAGGAATAATTCTTCTTTAGCCCAAGCTTGATGTTTAGTTTCATTGTTCTCTCCTCAAACGTAAACACAAGAAAATAGTAAAAACTAAAGATAGAAAAAGTCCAAAAAAAAAAGTAAACAAAAGCTGTTAACGGGTGTAGTCCAATGAGAAAGGGTCTTAACTTGCAAACCAGTTGTCTTAATTATAAACATCGAAATCATCTAATCCTTCACTTTATAAAATAAAATAACATCTTAATCTAGTTTCTCCGCCTCCCTCATCACTCATGCTAATTGTAAGGACTTAAAACTCAATCATCATTTGCAAACAACTCCCTGGTAAAATAAAATTATTTATATCATTTCAACCGAGCATTTTCTGTACCATTTCTCTAATAAAGCAGAATTCATTTGTAATAAAATATATACATCGAAATGATCTAGTATATATGAATGATTCTTTTGAGAATTGAAAACGATCTAGTATATATAACCCCTTATCATTAACCCAGAAATTAGTTTTGATAATGAAACCAACGAAGTGTTAGGAAAAAGAGGAGAAGAATAAGTTGGTGTAAGAGTAAACCTGTGAAGAGCAAGAGCAGTGGCAAGGCCGCATATCCCACCACCCACGATTACAATATTCTCTTTTGTATCACCAATCTCCATATCTTGCCTTCTATCTTCTATTTTCTGTTTTTTTTTTTTTTTTTAAATCCTTTGGCTTAGAAAAATAGTTGAGTATTCATAATGGCTACCTCAGGCTCCTAGCTAGGCAGCGGTTTAGAGGGCTTTGCTCAATTTCATTTAATAATTCGCAGCAGAAAAACCAAGAACTAGCCAGCATTCTTTGTATGTGGTTCAAACAATTCGGCAAAGTTTATGAGCCACAAAAGTTGTATGTTTGAGTTTTGCATACAATCTTTCTTTAATTATCTTAGGATGTGATGAAGTGTATTCACGGTATGTGTGTGCCACTTTATTATAGCTCCTTGGGGACTATTGACAGAAAACCACTCGGAATTAGTTTAACATGTATTTTGCTTCTTAGAGTAAAAGATCATCTGTTCAACTGCATTCCTCATGCGACAAAATGCTAGCCACGCATTCTTTTGCATCAATCTCTAGAATGATTTAATTATATCCCATATCAAAGGAACATTTTTGCTCACCACTTTAACTCAAGATATAACCTCACCATCCTCCTCAAACTTTGACACATGTCAATAGGTATAACTGTAGTTAACTTTTTTATTTTTGATGATATTATTGTGAGAGAGAAAAATTACAATGCTTTTACTAAAATTTAAAACTAAAAACTAATTATTAAAGAAAAAAAAAACAAAATTGTAAACAGCCACCACAGCACCCCGCCCACCCAACCAACCGACCTAGTCAACCACCCCGGCAGCAACCCCCTCCCCTACCAAAAACACATCATTTGATGTGTATTCAATGAATTTTTTTTTTCTCTGTAAAAAAAAGGGATATGAAATAATAATTGAGTAGATAGAGTATATTAAAATATTAATGATATGTTGTTTTTATTAATATAAGTGTTTATTGATTTATTGGGTTGTAAGAGCATCTACAACCATGCTCTCTATTTTTTAGTTAAAATTTAGCTAAAAATATATAAAAGCTATTTTAGCAGCTCTCTATAAAATTTTAACTCCAATCATACTCTCTAATTTAGAGAGTCAAACGCTATAAATCTTTTTTAATTGGTCAATCTCTATTAAAAAATCATATATAAAATAGTTAGCATTAATTAAAAAATTTAAATACTCATAAAATAAAGCAGCATTAAATTTTAGGGAGTCACTAGGAGTCTTTTCTCTCTCCTCATATTTAGGAACTCATAGAAGTCTCCATATTTTAGGAGGTGAATAAGGAGCATGTTTGGAGTTGTATTTTTCCAATTCTTTCCTAAAATTTGTCTGAGTAGGTGGTTTAGTGAGCCCATTGTGGATGCTCTAAAACCTTGTATTTGCCACTGTTGAGGCCTAAAAAGTCACGAGAAGCCCAAAGACATTTAAAGCCCAATATAACATAAAATGTTGCTCATGCGTTAATCGAAGCTGTATTTTGGGAATTAATTCATTAAATAAATATAGAAATAGTGTGCATACCATGCCAAGCCAATAATACATTTTTCATATATCAATCACCTACCAAGCTCACATGAACCCAAGTCATGTGGTTTACTGGGCTTGCACGAAGGATTGTGGTGTGGAAGGTGACGGAGGTCCACAAGGCTCACGGAAGTTCTTGGATAATGGAGACTTTGGGCTAGCTACTTGGGAGCACCAAAGTCCAAGTCCATTACTTGGAGTTCTCCAATGTGGGTGAGCAAATGAGATATTCTTCAAGCAATCTCTATTACCCATTGGAAACAAGCCAATTCCGACACTTCCTTTTACCCATAGAAAATAGTCATTTTCCAATGCATAGCTTTACGTGCTAGAAATAAGAATGTCCCAATGCTCCATTTTACTCGTTGGAAATAGACTAGCTCTAACACTTCCTTTTACCTATTGGAAACCAAAGAGAGCCTTCACCTTTCTATAAATGGGAAGGCATTGCCCAGGCAAAACCAACTCCTCTTAGTTACTGCAAGCCTCTCAGCAACCATGAGAATTCACCCTTTCTTCAGCTACTACAAGCATTCGAGCAGCCATCACAGTCATTCTTGAGCCATCAACCTCCATCTCTTGGTTGCTCAAGCACCCCAACAACCATCAGACCACCTTCCTTCCTTCCTCCCTTTGGCTACTGCAAGCATTTCAGCAGCCATCCCAGCCATTCCTCAGCTATCACAATCATTTCTTCTAATTTCTCATACTTAAAATCCTTCATCTTCCCTATAAAGCCTCACCAAGTATAACTCCAAGATTTTCCTTCCTCATCATACCCTTCCAAGCTATAAACACCATAACCTTCAAGCCTCAAGCTTTTCCTTCCATCATCCTTCTCTTGAAACTCTTAAATCACCAAAGCCATAGCCACAAACAACAAGTTCTCAACACCAAAACTCAAGCCTATCCACACCAAGCGAAGCACATGCATTCTCATTTGCTAAACTTACAGGTCTTTAGCTCCCACACTCCAAGCTCTCATGCCAAGTTTGCACAATCTCGATTCAACATCATCAAGTCATCTTTAACCATGAAAAAGCACGACCAAGCATTCGTCAAGCTGTTGGAAATCTACTCAAGCCACCCATCCTTTATCTCCATCTCTCTCTCTCTCTCTCTCTCTCTCTCTCTCTCTCTCTCTCTCTTAAAAAGCTACATCTCAAATCTGAAACACCCATTCTCTCAAGCTAAGTTGAAACCATTATCATTACCTTTTTGGTAAGAAAATGCAGACATCGCAAGCTCTTCGTTTAGCTGCCGAAAACACCCAAAATCTCAAGCCTTAATCCTTTCTTTATGCTCATTTTCTCTTAGCTCTCACGCCACAAGCCTCTCATGTCAAGCCTAGTAGTATCTTGATTCACCAAAGAAAACTCTCATGCCAAGCCTGTGCAACATCAATGCACCATCTCCAACTCTTCGTCTAGCTGCCAGAAACATTAGCACAAAACACACAGCCCCTGGAAGAAGAACAAAGTACTCCCCTAGGACTTGCTTCTCCCTCGGGATAATTTGGGCCTAGTTCTCACTAACTCAGAAAAAGGGGCAATGAAGGCTTGATTCACCACTGTATGGCGATCTAAGAATCAACAAGCCCGGACGAGCCTTCCGAAAAGAAAAGACCCGAACATCCACGTTAGTGGCTAACTTTTTTTGGGGAGAAGCCGTTTATATCGCAATGTACCTAATGAATAGGTGTCCGACAAAGGCGTTGGAAAACAAAACCACATTCGAAGCATGGAGTCAGAAGAAAGCCATTCGTGAACCAATTGAAGGTATTTAATCTATCAGCTTTGCTCAAGTTCCAAAACAATTGAGAAACAAACTAGATGAATCTAGTTAAAAGTGCATATTTTTTTTGTTATAGCTCACAATCAAAGGGTTATAGACTTTACAATTTGAAGAAAGAAAAATTAATCATTTGTAGAGATGTTCTCTTCAATGAGCAAACCTCTTGGGATTGGAAACAAAAAGCCTTCCAAACTCACATTGTGATGTTAATGAAGAGGTAGAGAATGAAGAGAATAAAGAGAATGAAGAGAATGCAGGAAATGAAGATGACATTGTTCATGGAACTTTAGAACAAGTAACTTCAGTCCACAAGCACAATCATCTGGATCTACACCTCTTAGTTCAACTCTGAGAAGAACGAGGAGTTTGAATGACTTGTATGCAAGTTGCAACTTTTGTGTTGTTGAATCGGAAAGCTTTGAAGAAGCAATCCAAGAGGAAGCTTGGAAGAATGAAATCGAAGAAGAAATTAATGTGATTGAAAAGAATGAGACATGGGAACTTGTTGATAGGTCTAAAGACAAAGATGTCATAGGTGTGAAGTGGATCTTCAAGACAAAGTTCAATCTTTCTTCTTCTTTTTTGCTCGGAATCAAAGATATTCATAGAAACCCCATAAACCTAGACATGGCAATGTCACACACGACCTGTTAACACGACACGAATTTGCATGAAAAATTCAGTATTCGGGTTTGAGTTATCATGTTGTGTTGCTATCGTGTTGACCCGTTAAGCTAACGGGTTGTTTCGGTGCCCATTCGCGAATACACGAACCAACCCGTTAAGTGGAGGTAATTTTGTAATTTTCAATTCTTAAAAAAGAATACCTCATAACCCTAGCATCATCTCTTCATTCCACGTCGGCTAGCTGAGTGAGTAGTCTAAGAGTGTCTCCTCCTCTCTTCTCCGCAGTTTTCTTTCTCTATCTCTCAAGTCCTCATCTTCTCCTTCTTCTTGCAATCTCTCCTCTCTATGTCTTTGAAGATCTTCCCTTGCCGCCAAATCCTCTCTCAAGGTATGAATGTTTTTCTTAATTTTTTTGGTAAATTTGTTTGACTTTCATATTTCAGTTTGGAATTGATATATTTATGTGGACTTCGAGATCAAACAAGTCATTTTAGACTAGTTGCAAACAGACACAATGCTTTCCCAACCATTAAAGCTTTCTCAGAAAGCAATTGTTGAAAAAAAAAAGAAATAACACGATTTCTTGGTATATCTTTTTTGAATTTATTATTTACAAGCTTTGATATTGGTTCCTTTTTTTTTTCAAAAGACCAAAAATTTGTCTTGGCTATTTTATTTTTGCATTTTATTAATGTTTCTGTGAGTTTGGACTTCTCATACTACCTGCTGTTAGTTCTCTCATATTAGTTGTGTTGGTAATATTGTTGTGTCTAATAATATCTATATCTCTTTGTTTTTATTTTTGAAGGGGATGGATGTTATAGAAAATAGCCCTACCAATGCTATTGATATTAATGATGAGGAGTCAATTGATGTTTCAATAGGTATTGATACAGCAAATACTGAAAATACAGAAGAGAAAGAGTTAAGCCCTACAAAGAAAAAGGTTAGAGCCAATGTGGGTAAGCGTAGACTAAGATCTCCTGCTCGGGAATCATTTGATTTACTGCCCGTTGATGAAAATAACAAAAAGCGTGCTAAATGTAAACATTGTCGGATTGTATATGTGTGTGATAGTAGGTATGGGACGGGAAATTTGTTGAATCATGCTAAAAATTGCATTAAGAAGCCTCATGGTGATGTGAAGCAATTACTTATGTCATCTTCAGGATTGCGTTCCCTGCAATTTGATTATGTGAAATTTCGTGACTTGTTAATATAGGCGATCATCAAGCATAATTTGCCTTTTAGTTTTGTTGAATATGAGGGAATTAGGGCTTTGTTTGCATATGTCTCTCAT